CCTTTGGCCTGCCACAAACACACACAAAAAAAAACAACACCAACACATTACACAATAAACACAAACAATTGAGCCACATCACACGCGAGAAGCCAACTCGTCAGTGGAGCGGTAAGTGGAAAGGGGCTCACCGCAAAATTTTGGCGGCTGCATTTGACGGTGCTGCAGAAATCTGGGTCTTCATCCGTCGTTATCTTGAGATCGGGACTGATGTCAAAAAGAGCCAGCTGGGTGCTGCTGGGATCTAGGTCGACATTGAACACGCCGACCCACAGCGTCGAAGGCGGACCGGGCGAGACCGCAGAGGAGGCCACGAGTCTGCTGCCCTTCTTCCCGGGGATGACCAGAGATGCCCCGCGCAGCGATTTCATGGTGTCCGCCTTCTTTGTTTTGGCCTGCAGCCATATGAGCCGAACTCTGTTGCCGCCCGGTTGTGACGAAAGCACGTTGGCAAAGAGATAAATGACAGAATTGATCTGAAATCCATCCATGAAGTCCACATCGCCGCTACTTTTAAAGAGGGGGTGGGAGCCGTCACCGGAGAAGGAGAAGATGCCTCCGTCGTGTTTGTTATCCGTGTCATGGATGTACACGGCCTCCGTAAAAGAGGCGCACATGCTGGGCGGGGTCTCGTCTTTGCGCTGCTGGATGGCGGTCATGATGTAAAAGTCCCGGGTGGCCCTTTGAACGGCCACCAGGAAGGCCACCGACGCGCTGATGCGCCTGTAGGGCCCCACCGGGATGTGCTCCCTGTGGAGCACCGTGGAGATGTTGGCTAAGGCCAGTAGCTCGCAATAGCTGCACACGTTGTCCGTCACGCCGCAGCTGATGAGCGTGCCGTTCTCCACAAAAGGCACCAGCACGGTGACGCTTAACGTATCGTTCCACGAATCTCCCGTGACTCTGGAAAAGAGCGCGGTGTCACTTTTTCCCGTGAGGATGCCCGTCTGGTTGACGGCGTAGACCAGACGTAAGCCGCGGCTCAGCTGGTACAGTCTCTCATCTGTTGCTATATAAACGCCGTCAAGTGTGGCCACAAAGTGGCGAATGTCCCCGTCCACGATGAAGCGTCCACCTGTTGCCTCCTCCTGGCATTGAACCACTTGTGGCCAGAGAAGGCAGACGAGAGGCGTCGACAGAAGCAGTAGCAGCATCGTCTTGCTGTGTTGTGAGCTGGACGCCTCGCATGGCTCTCAGTCTGGAGTGGTGCGTAAACGCGCGCAGCGTGCCACCACAGAGGAGAAGTGTCTCAAGTGGGAGGGAGCACGCGCGCTGGGCGTCAAACATCGCGACTCTTTTCCAGACCGTTGTTGGAGCTGCAAAAACAGAAAGCGATCAAGAATTAAACGCCACCGAGGCAAAATACAAAGCACTCCACTAAACCACTGAAAATGTACTTTGTGTTCAAAATATATAGTTAATGTGGACACTTCCAATGGAGTCAATGACACTTGCATTTATACAAGCGTGACAAAAATTGATGAAGTTCAAAATCATGAGTTTAGCTTTATGACATCCACACGTGATGGGAATAAACAGATATGACTTATGGATTACACAGGAGCAAACACCTTAAAGGTGTTCATATGCCCACATTTTGTTTGACACTCAACTACTCATTCTAATGGCTAGAATTAAACGTGAATGCATTTAATATACTGTTTAGTTCATTCAATATATCAGTTTACAGTACATATGTATGTAGGGATGAATTGATACAAAAAAGAAATAAAAAAAGGTGCGATAAACGAATGAAGGAAGAAGCACATCAATTTGAAATTATTCCACACAAATTCCATCAGCAATGCCGGCATCTATTTAACCACTGTAATAAGGAAGAAAACGTGACAGGACAAAAAAATGTAAATGAAAGAAAAATGAAAATATGTCAAAGTTGATATACTGTATTTCTTTTTGGCCCAGCCTGTACATCCAATTATTAAAAACACACTTCTGTCCTCTTGTGGTTAAAAACGGTATAGCACCGTGACATCATTTGAATTGGAATTGACTCAACCAAATTCATCTTTATTTCGGGGGAAATACAAAAAAAAATCGAGTTGGCATTGTTTAACTATTATCTAACTATTATCCAACTGTATAAAGCCTTATTAAGAGTGAGTGGCTCCTCTGTATTCGACTACCGCCATGGCACGGCCACGATTTGTAGTTAAACTACGGTCTTTTTTTTCACGTAAAACATTCTGACTGTTTGGTCATTATTTGAACAAAAAAAACATAACAAACCTTGGACTCGTTTGATTGTAACGTGTTGGAATTCAGCGAATTGAAGGCGAGCGAAGAAACCACAAAATTGAAGCACCTGCCGTTCATCAACGCAAAAGCGCTCTTCCCGGTTTACAAAGTGACACAACGCCATTGGAGGAAAGCTGACCAATCAAAACGCAGGACACGAATGACGTTTTATTTTTATTTTTTTATTCTTCCAGGTGGGTTTTCCCTGTGTCGTCAATGGTTTCCACTAGATGTCGCTGTCCGCACTGTTTTGGTGGCACTGCGGGGGTTACGCAGAGCTCATCACTGTTGGGAACTCCGCGTCTTTATATTCCTGCTGACCGCCCGCTTGAGGTTCATTCACAGCAGCGAGGGAGCTGCTGTTCATCCTCCATCCGTCCTTTCTCCCATCGATCCTCCCATTCATCCATCAATCTCGTATCTGGCGTGTGTCGGCGCGTCCAGCTGTGCACAGCCAGTGTCGACATCTACCTGGAAGGGACACTTTGATTTATTTCCGTCATCTCCAGCCTGGATATCATCGCTGGCTGCAGACATCATTGGTGAGTCCTTTGCTTGGGCTTTTATGTCAGTCAGGTTTCTTAACATGAGTACATTAGCAGAACTGTTCCATCGGGAAAGTGCGCCTTGTGTGATAATTGCCCTCATCTGGTTTGGTTTACATCCAGTGGTGTCACACTGATACGCTGTGAGAAAAAAATAAATAAAATAGCGCTCGTGTGGGTTCATTCCTGCTCTTAAAGAGACAAATGTGCACTCCAAAACCACTTATTGGACTCCCAAGTGAATTTTTAAAGTGTCAAGTCTAGCAAGGGTACAATAGTAGTGACAATTTACTGTCTTTCTGCATCTCTAATCTACATGCCGATCTTCACCCATGTGCAGCTCTAACTTATTTCCTCCTCTTCTTCTTCTTCTTGTTCCTCTTGAGTCGCAGGACATCATTGACATTTACACGCGTCCCTGGCTGTTGCATAATACTCCATATCCGAGTGGACTTTGGGGGTCACCCTGTGGCATCTCTCGCCAAATATGTTTCGGCCTTGCTTGTCATACTGATGCGTTTGAGAGCAATGTTGTTGCATGACTCAAAGTAATCTCCGGGAGGAAATGAAGAGCTTGATAAATTAACGAGCTGTTATTGGGACCTCGAAACTGATCCGTGCACTATAGTAGACTCGAGGAATGTAACTGCAATAACAGTCCACATTTTCGAATCTTTCCAGCGTCCATGTTGATGGAAATTCTGCCATTTGGCGTGTATTTTCAGTGCACATTTGCTGTCACTTACACGAGTCCAGTGCGTGTGTATTTTGATGACAGGCCTGTGGTTGGCCATCTTTCTATAGCATGTGCTGCAGCAGGTCCCCTCCCATGGTTTGGAAAGCTGCACTCTGTAATCTCCTCCAACCTCAGCACCACCCCGATTCCTTTCTCAGGGGCAGCAAAGGCACAAAGAGACAAATGGGCACCCGGCTGACGGGAAGAAAAAAAAACAAACAAAAAAAAAAAACTACGCTCAATAAGAACAAAAAAAAAGGGGTCCACCCATGGTTAAAAAAAAAAAAAGCGCACTAATTTAAGACTTGTAGAGTTTTGGTCGCGTGACCTCTAATCTCATTAATATTCGTTTGAACGGTGAACAACCACAAGACTTAAGTCAAAAAGTGACAATTAAATTACAACCTGGCTTGTGTTCTTCGCCCTTACATCAGAAGGTCTCAAACTCGCGGCCCGAGGGCTAAAAGAGGCCGTCTCGTCGAAGGCCGACAGCGTCCGAGCACCCGAACTATAGCGGAAACGTGACAATGCCCACGGTGCCCCGCGCTAGCTTGAATACACGTGTAAACCACGGATGTAAAGAACCCTCTGAATATACATTTAAACAGATAAACAACACGCCAGTGTGACTGTCACCAGAGCACCAGACCAGACGTTACACACGTACAAGAACGGGTGAAAATGAGTGCTAAGACGCTAACGCGGAGCTAGCACTATAACCTACACACGAGCGAAGTTTAATGTGTATGTGTGCGTGTTAGCGTTAGCTCCATGCTAGCTACTAGCCAAACTTTAAAAATTGTATCACATTTTTTATTATTTATTATTGTTTTTTTTTTTTTTTTTTTTTTTTTAATAAACGCATTCTAGCTCCAGCGGCCCCCGGGTAAATTGAGTTTGAGACCCCTGTCTTACATGCACAAATGTTTAATCACAGATTTGAGGATGTCTGCTTGGCATTTGCACCTAAAAAAAAAACAAAAAACAAAAATGCTGTCAAGTTCATATGGTGGTTGTTATTCCCCCCTTGTTATTATTATTTTTTAACAGAACCAACATGTCTATTGTCTGCTAATGAAAGGCAATTCATCATCATCTCATTCCTTACCAGTAGAGAACTAATGAACGGACGATTGATTTTTTTTCTTTTTTTTTTTTTTTTTTTTCAATTTACCAGCAGAGAACTAATGAACGGACGATTGATTTTTTTTTTTTTTTTGTGGTGGAAGAAACATGTGGCAAGACAAACAGCCGAGGAGGACAACAATTTGTCACTTTCAGGGGACTCTCAATCAACTTCTTCTGGAAACATTTGCTCAGGCTTTGAGCTAAAATAATATTTTGCTCGGCTCTCTAAATCTTGAATTCTGCAAGTTATTAACTTGAGAAAGTTTTCCTGCAGTCAGTGTCAACTGTATGCGTTTTTTTTTTTTTTTTTTAGATAACTGCCAACCAGTTTCTCTGCATCCGAAATTAGTAAATATACGGATTGGAATCCCTCCGGAGGGAACTTGTCTCCCATCGGTGGTGGCAGGAAACATCAGGAAATGGTTGGCGTGGGTGGACACTGCAACTGGCAAAACACGGGAATGACCATGTTGGCAAGGGAGACTCGCTCAGCGGTGTTTCCCTTCTGCTGCTGCGGCGGCGTGGGAGTTGCTCTCTGACTGCAGAAAGACTGGATCCGTGCCCCGGAAAATAAACGCAGAGGGAGCAAGATACAGATTGTTGAACCCTTTCATGCACCAATAATGCTAAGCTGTCACCTGATGCTGTCCACTGTTGTAAAAACTGTCCCTGAAACGGTAAAAAAATAAATAAAAAAAAAATGAAAATAACATTGGAATGGCTTAAAGTACACTGTCAAAGCATTTTTCGGACGCGATTCCGTCCAGGTTATGCTGATGTGAAACGGATGGCACCGGCTGCAGCCAATTTCATACCTCGGGAGGGGTCTCTGGAAAGTAATTAGGCTGCAGCAAATCTATCAACAGCAGTCGAAGCGGCTGCCAATGTTGGAGGCGCTTATTTCCCGTCTTAATTCATGCGCACTTGTGTTTAATGAAGCCACGAGGGATAAACACGGCACATGTGTCTGCCCCCCCCCCCAAAAAAAAACACGCTTTGTTCAACTCGCTTTGTTCAATGTTTACAGGATGTTTGATGTCGGAGGCCAACGCTCCGAAAGGAAGAAGTGGATCCACTATCGCCCCCGTCAGTCTTTTAACAGATCAAGGATGTCAGCTTGACCGGCGCAAAGCGAAAGAGGACCACATGGCCGCCATGTATGGGCATGTGTGTGCCAGCGCGATAGGGAAATGATTACAGAAGCTCCCCTGAGAGAGAGTGTGTGTGTGTGTGTGTGTGTGTGTGTGTGTGTGTGTGTGTTGTGAGTCCCCTGGAGGTTTGCCACTCCCTAACTTCAGCTAGCGAGAATTTTATCACCTCGCGGGCACCGACATCCTTCTTTTGCCTTGCTTCCAATTTTTGTTTGTTTGTTTGTTTTTCATTTTGCTATATTCAAGCAGAGTGGACGCAAGGGGCATGACCGAACTGCTCTTTGGACTTTCTCCACAGACGCCGTTTTCTCCCGTAGGGACCAGGAGATGGCCGGTTGACTGCAGAGCTTTGCTTATTGGCTGGCCGAGCTTGCCGTCATGGCCAAAAGCCCGGAGGTGAAACTCGCCGTCTTAGGCCGAGCAGGGGTGGGCAAGTCAGGTAGGCTGTTTTTTTCCTTCTATAAAATATAGTGGTTACCCCCCACTCCTCGTCATTCCCTCCTCGGGCCAAGAGGCGTTTCGATAGTTTTACGTAAATGTGAATCACCCAGAAAAAGTGTTCACCAGTCGGGCGATCGCTCACTATGCTGATGTTTGCCTTGTACATTTTCCAAAGATTGTTAAAAGCCGACAAAAGCAAACGTCCTTGGATCATTTCTTAACAAAATGGCAGGCAAAAACCACCTCTGAGAGAGAACATAATGAGGGCATAAAAAGATTAGGATGCAGTCAAAAGTTAAATGACCATTTTTAGTCGTTACTCTATTCTGAGTTTTTTACATTCCGCACAACTCTCATTTATTGTGCAATATAATTGTAACATGTATTTGCTACATATTTTGATGCATTTATATGCGTCATAAAACATTTATGTCTGAATTTTGGGGGGCTCGGAACGAATTAGGGCATTTACATGGAAAACGTGTCTTGACTTACAAATTTTTCTAGGACATCGTAAGTAGAGGTACTACTGTATGGGATTGTCGAAAAAAAAATAGGATCAAGCTGTATTTGATGTTGAACATCAGCTAACTTCACATAAATCACTTTGAGAGGGGGTGGGGGAGCTATTACCTTACATTGGTATTTGGCATATCCAACCCAAATAGAGCCGCTGATTGCTTTGCTACTTATCGGCACCGTACATCTTCGCTCTCATCAAGAGCCTTTATTCTCCACGCTCACGGATCCCTTTGACGCGCGCCTCGCCGTCCGTGAGGCGAGCACGCAGAAACAATCGCGTTTGACGCCAGTCAGGTGTGAAGCGCCGCGTATAGCCCCGCCGATCGTCGACAACAATGGGCTGCTCTCGTCCGAACGTAGCGGCAGCCCACACATGCTAAGAAAGCGCCACGCTGTGGAAACGTGCGCACTTGGGCTGTGAAAGACGCCCCCCCGCCCCCAAACTCCTTTTGGGGAAAGTCGGTATCGAACTAAATGCTTCACATTCTTATCATTCTCTGAGGCAAAAATCAGTAACGTGTTTGTTCAAGTTTAACTCAGCACATCATTATATCTTTTTTTTTTTTTTTTTTACCTTATCATTCATTAATCTCAAACGCTATCAGAGCAATTTTAACCAAGCGAGAGCTGAGAACACTCACCCAAGAATGAATTATTAATTTGGCAAAAAACGGTCTCAGGGACTGAAATTTTTCCATCGCTGCGGGGTAAGCGAAACGGACGCTCATGTTCAGGAAATCGGTCATGAGATCAGTATCGATGTGGACAAAAATAGACGACGACTCATCAGGTCCGGCGGCGGTTGATCTTGACGTCGTTTAAGTGTTTCGGTTGGAAAGGTGCGCATGGAGTGTGTTGCTAAGCCCGCTGACGAATTGGGGAGGGCTGATTGAAAGCTCTGCCATGTTTATGTGTCGTGGACCCCCGCGGAGCCACCCACCCGCTAATAAGAACCGAAGTGGATCAACTCGAGTGTGGCTCCTCTGACAATTTACAGCTGCTTAGTCAGTGCACAGAAACATTGTCCAATTACTCTCCCTGACACACACCCACACACACTCCACATCGGCGGAGCTTAAAACTGGCCTTTTAATATTGCATAATTTATGATATGATTTATAGAGACATGTGGACCAAGCTGGACAGTAATAATTGCCGAGGCTCTTGCCGTGGCTGTCATGTCGCAATAATAGAAACTGTCAATACTATTGGAGAGAGAAAAAAAAAAATTGCAACAGCATGGAACAACGTCACATCTCCTGACATGGAAAAAAAAAAAAAGGAAATAAACTGCATCACACCACAGGTGATGATTGTTAAGGGGCAAGCGCGCTCAATTTCTATATTTAATCAATCGGCCAGCGCTTTCTGAAGGCCTGGTGCGGATTAAATTGAGATGACAGCACATAAACATACAGGAAGAGGTGCAGCCAAGACAAACGTTATGGAATAGATTGTTGACAGAATAGTCCCCCCTGACCTGAGTAAAAAAAAAAAAAAGAAGAAGAAAAAGTTTCCCTTCAAACAAGCCTGATGCGTTCACTTGTTTATGAGCCGTCAACGCTGGATCGAAGAAAAAGTTTCCCTTCAAACAAGCCTGATGGCAAATGTTCTGCAAACATGTTTGCGTTCACTTGTTTATGAGCCGTCAACGCTGGATCCGAGCTGATCGCGCCATGAAGGAATCTTGGCGGTCTCACCAAAAACCTCTTAGAAAGGAACTCTCACTCACCTCAAGGCAACATTTGTCTGATTTGTGACTATTGGACGGTGCCTTGAAACCTAAATCGGAGTTTATGTTGGAATCGGAGCATTTGTTTGGACTGGGTCACCGGGTCAACAAACTTTGCTGTTTGAAAACACAACTATAATCCCCCCCCCCCGTTTTTTTTTTTTTTTGGAGTCTCTCCACAAATTTGATCACAACTTTGCGTCAGTCCCGACTTCATAACGTCCGATATAAAACGATCGTATTACCAATAAAGCCGCAGCAGGATAAAACGGCCTCACCTGATGTAATCTCCGTCTGCTGTAAAAACAACCGAGGTGTGTGCGCTTTCATAAAAGCACTTTGGACGAAATGCTTTTGCTAGCGTCAGGGAGTCGATGAGCGTGCCAGGCTTGTGAAAGATTTCATGTGAACCC